TGATATCTCAAAAAGTATTGAGAATTTGTAATACGTCAAAGAAGCAAAGTTGTTCAAAATTTTAAGTTTTATCTAAAGGAGTCGTCAAAATACGTCCGACGACGTCACTTCCGGTCAAACCGGAAGTAGTAAAAAATTGCATATTTTTGCTGTTCTTGACAGGTTTATGGGCAACATATGTTACTGGAAGCTTAAATCTTAACTTTCCGTCCGTCGACGTCACTTCCGGTCAAACCGGAAGTAGTTAAAAATTGCATATTTTTGCCGTTCTTGACAGGTTTTTGGGTTACATATGTCACTGGAAGCTTAAATCTTAATTTTCTGTCCGTCAACGTCACTTCCGGTCAAACCGGAAGTAGCCAAAAATGGCTTAATATTGCAATAATTAATATAGATTTGGAGGATTAAACCATTTTTAGACTTCATTACTCATTTTTTTTTTTTTTGAAAAATGAAAGCTGCAGATGTACTTCCGGTCAAACAGGACGGAAGACCTACTCGTTGCTTTGCAACGAGCTCGGCTCTAGTTATTATTCTTTTTTTTCTTACCGATTTTGTGCACGCGATTTCTCCGAAACGGCTCGATGGATTTCCATGAAACTTTCAGGACTTATGTAACATTACTTGAACCTTATGCATTTTTTCCGATTTGATGACGTCACTTCCGGTTTGGAGATATTATCGATTTTATGATTTTTGAAGGGTCAGATTGTCCTCGAACGTTCTAAAAAATGGCTATAGATAGAAACGTGAAAATTTCTGGTATGATAGTCCAAAGTCTATAGATATGTAAAATTTATTTCATTTTTATCTGAAGTGCCGCACGTCGGCGCTCGGTATGGCGCAAAAATAGTCCTATCGCGAATTTCAAAAATTTTACCACCTTTTCTACGATATCTTTTTACCTGGAAATATTTTGTTAAATCATGTAGAACAAAAGAAGTGTAGAATTCCAAGATCTTTCAAATCATACCTCGAAAAAAGGGCTGGTCCCTAAAATTAAGGGACTAGAGGGGCCGAAAGTTTTTTTCTTTATATCTCAAAACGTATTGAGAATTTGTAATACGTCAAAGAAGCAAAGTTGTTCAAAATGTTAAGCTCAATCTAACGGAGCCATCACAAAAACGTTCGTTGTCGTCACTTCCGGCCAAACCGGAAGTAGTCGAAAAACGCGTATTTTTGCCGTTCTTTACCCGTTTTTGGGTAACATATCTCTCTGTGAGCATAAAAATTAATTTTCCGTCCGTCGTCGTCACTTCCGGTCAAACCGGAAGTAGCAAAAAATGGCTTATTTTAGCATTAATAAACATAAATTAAGGTGATTTATACATTTTTGGGCGTTTTTATTTATTTTTGTAAAAATGAAAGTCACTTCCGGTTTCTTCCGGTCAAACAGGACGGAAGACCTACTCGTTGCTTTGCAACGAGCTTTGCTCTAGTGTTTCCTATTATTATTATTTTTCCCTTTTCATAGTACACGTGATTTCTCCGAAACTACTGAACCGATTTCGAAGATTTTTTCAGGAATGATGCATTGTTGTAATATCTCCAGACCTTTTTTTCATTTTTTTTGAAAACCACTTCCGGTCGCATTTTTTGTCCGATTTTCTTTTTTTAAGTTGTCATTTTGTCCAAGCATCTTCTTGTAAACCACTCAAGATTGAATCATGATATTTTCAGGGATTATAAAACATCTTATTGAGTTATGCATGACGTCTTTTAATTTCGCATCCGTCACTTCCGGCCGACACAGGAAGGGATGTTTAATTTTCAGATTTTTTGAAAAATTTAACGGGATTGATTAAAGGCAAATAGAACATATATTTTTATTCACAATCCTCAACAAAAAGCATCCATCAGAAGTACTTCCGGTAAAAACCGGAAGTAGTCGAAAATTCAAAGTTTTTCCTTTGAATCAAAATAAATCAAATAAAACGATTGAATTTGAGTTTTTCAATTTTTTTCTGACTTGCTGACTGTGATGTCAGCCGGAAATAATGCCGGTATTGTCAAAAGTCGTCAAATGACGTCACTTCCGGTCAAAACGCGTAATTACTTTTGCACCGAGAATAGTTTGGCAAGAAATATACAACAAAAGTTGTGCGTAATTATGAGAGCTTTCATATAAGATTAAGGAAAAGGGGCTGGCCCCTATAATTAGGCCAGGGGTAAATAGATCATAAACGTTTTTTTTTTCTGAGAGCTAAAAATATAATTTTTTAATGGTAACAGTTATACTATGAAAAATTTTATCTGAAATCATTTCGAATTGATGAAAAACCCTGTCATTTGGTATAAAGATAAACAAACTCCAAACTATATTTGTTTTTTATAAAACAAATATGTGGGAAACCTTACATGGACAAGTTGTCTAGCTACTGTAGCCAGCCAAGCCTTTACTGTGCCACTAACGCACAGTTTTAGCATGGACCTATAACACGTTATACTAACATAGGTCCCTGGTTTTAGTTGATGCATCAGTAAGATATAGTGTTGATTCGGTGTTTCTCTGTTTTCTTTTTATGCAAGTAATTTAAAATGTGATGTATGTACACAACAAAAGGTGAAATCAAAATGGGTTTTTTCTGCATTTGTATAGGTGTAAACAACGCGCGGCATTGTGGGAAACGGGAAGGTACTAAAGACTTGATATGCTAAAATCCTGATTTGACCTGATTAAAAATTGTCAGTAATATTCCAAACAATTGAATTCTTGTATAACATAATGCATCATAGTCAAAGGTCTTTAAAATAAGACATTTTAAGTACTCAATATTATCATTTAATTTAAAATAAAAACATCGGGTAATTTCAGGTCTTTAGTACATCCGGGTTTCAGTGTGTCCCATCGAAATCGGCAAATCACATGTTGATCATGTTTACAAAGTAAAGTTGAGGATTTTCTCACCATACAAGCCGTATGTAAACATGCACGGACATTTTATCTGCAGCTCCAAGTACTTTATCAATCCTCTGGAGCATTATTCTAAGCAAAATTATCCGATTTATATATTCTTGTGTGAATTGTTTACGAGGAAATTCCGACTGTCACAGTAATAAACAAGGATGAACACTCTTGACTCTGTTTCGGATTCCCCAGTGATAATTACTTACTTACTTATGGTTACTTATGGTATTTTTCCAACACAGGTCCTGTCAAGGTCCTCTTCGTCGGACTCCAAACTTGCTTTGTAACTACTTGGGTGACTACCGGTGTAATCGGTTTTAAACAGGTTGGGCACACACCCCCAAATGGTCATTAAATCCCCGAATTTATTATACCAAATGGGAGAGAAAAATCGTTTTGTTCAGTTCTCTGGGATTACGTGAAATGGCGCATAATTTCAACTCACGGGGAATAAAATATAGATATTTTTCTAAACTTTGAACGAAAAAAATCAGAATTTCAACGCGGACTTTTTTGCGCAGTGTCGTTCAAATATTTGACAAAATCGTCACCTATGTAAACAAGAGTAACTTTTCTGTGTTTTAACTTAAAAAGAAAAATTCCCTCCATCTCGCGCGTAGTTGAGCCTATCAATCGTGTTTATCACTTCATATTTCTGTCATCCGGGTAACCGATCAATTATCTTAACCAATTAAAAATGACGATCTTTTCCGAACTTGGGTCGAAAGACTGATTTAACTACGGAGGCCCATTAGTGTAAATTTTCAAAAAGTAAAATACGATGAAGGGTAAGAATTCTCTTTTATATCGTTTATTTTGTATGTTATGGGTTTATTTTTTACAAAAATAGGACATGCCGTGAATTTATGATAAAATAATCGCTGAAAAACTATAATCTTGGAATAAAAATAAGAATAATTGCAAATGTCACTTAGTAAATTTTTTATTCAAAAATTTTTAATAAATATAGTAGATACATCATAGATATGCATATTAAACCTCAAAGGGTCGCACAGAAATCGTAATCATTAAAACAAAATAAAGAATAAATGTTACATTCAAATGTAGAAAAAAATGAATATTATAGCAATAAGTGCCCACCATACGAATACAATACGAGGAGCTCGTTTTTAACGGGATTTTATAGAGATTTATACAGACGCAGTTTGAAAGATCATTTGAAAAGTTACTTCTCTAGACTAACACCTCTTGTTTAAATATATTTTTTACCAAACTGTATTGATTGAGCAAATAGTTCGGCCGTCATGGACAACTGTGGGCTTCGTTTTTACGAAGTTTCAAAGAAATTCCACATGGAAAATTATCTAAATTGTATTAAATGCCCGAGGAATATGTTCATTAAAATTCCCCAATGCCAAAGTAAATGCGCTTTTGCTTTATTTTAATAAAAATTGGATTTGAATAAAAATGACCACCATTTGGTAGGTAATAAAGACACCGATATGGGCGGTTGATCACCAAACGGGGGTTTAATGACCATTTGGGGGTGTGTGCCCAACCTGTTAAAGTCTACTTTGTAGTTATAGAGCACATCCTGGTCCTTTCAGAAGTTGTCTTAATTGTATCGAATGATTAAAGAGCCGACGGTTACATTTTAATTTATGATTGGCGTGGACCATGGGAATAAATTCGAAGGTAAGATTTTTGTTTACCTAAAATTTACATTATATTACTATGGCAGCTTAGAGCATTTATTTTTAGAAATACACAGACACAGCGATATATTAACTGTTTTACAGTTCAGACGCTCTCGATTAGCCTTTTAAAATCCCCACAGCTTTAAATTTTATTTAAATATGTGTGAGCATGTAATTTCAACAAGACTTGCTTTCAACATGTTCAAAACAAAATGTTTTTCAACTAATAATATGTTGACGGGTGTGATGTTAGGGTACGATAAGCATGGTAAGGGCAGATACTTATTCACTTTTAATTTAGATCAGGTTTGTCAAACTGCACTAGACATTTGGTGCATCGATGCATGTTCACATGGACTGAGTTCATTTCAAATTATTTTAATTCGAATTAATTTACTGCGCATTAAATTACTTTGCATTAGCTTCTTGTGAACACTAACATGACTAAGGTAAGCTAATTCCAATTAAATTTTGAGGCATGTGAAATGGCAAAATTAAGTCAAATGCTACATGTTGGTGGTCAGCTTTAAGTACTTGTGCTATTTTTGAGTGAAAAACTAAGGAAAATATAGTGTTAATCACTAAAATGTGAAAACAGACACTGTGACATTATGTCAAATACATCTGTTTATGCCTAAGGTGACATGATTTGTAAATGATGTCATAAAAGCCTAACTGAAGCCTGCATGACTGTCAAAGTAAAATTTTTATTCGATTTGGTTACTTTGCATTATAATTAGCTGTCATGTGAACACAGTTTGATTCGCATTAGTTTGATTTGCATTTAATTTAGTTTACTTCGCAATAATTTACTGCGAATTAAACTCTCCGTCTGAACAGGGCACTAGACTCTAAAGTCACATGACGTCGTAGTGTAAGTTTGGCCTACAATACCACTTTAAAGCTTGAATGTAGCTCAAAGAAGCAAAGCACTGTGGGTCCAAAGTTACTGCAGAAAAAAATTTAGTATAATTTATTGACAAAAAAATTGCACACAATATAATATTGCTCAGTTAATTAAATCAATATTTTATTATGTCATATGTATGTTTCTTAGTTAAATTGCAAAAGAAATTTGTAAAAAAAAAAAAATGTAATAGTAGAGTTTGCTTTTTTTGTGATAAGGCTGCAGAAATGGTTTGTTTGTTAATTAGTCTATTGAAAATTTTTCAGTCATTTTATGATGCCACCACTTGGGATAGTAAGCTGCAAATATAGACTTGTACTCAGCACTTATTGCCTTTGAGAAGTAAGGGATCCTTTTCGTGCCAACACCCACACCTACTGTGACACAGAATCTCGGTTTATACAGTCTCTTTGGAGTAACCTGTCTCTAGCATTTAGCAGTAAGTATCAGCTTCTTATTGATACTTTGATTGATAATGTTATCATGAGAATCTCACTCATTCACTCATTTAATATATACTGGTGAATAGCTTCAATATGCATATGGACCTTTACTTGGAACTCAGGGTCATTATCCTAACATCTACTGTGAGGTTTTTAGGGTCTAATTCACTACAAATGTTGGGTGCATGGTTAGGGAACATAACTGCGTACATGTTTTTGTCTTAGGTTTGATGCAGTGAATTAAAATCAAGCCCAGCTTCATGATTATACATAGCGATTGCCCTACCACTAGGCTACCATAACAGACAATGATGTATTTGGGTTATATAGTAAAAAACGCTTAGGCAAACACTTATAATGAAAAGAAGCTTATCGAAAATTGAATTTTATTCCCAGTCTTTTTAAAATATATATGGAAAACTAAATGGTGTCCTGATAAGGCAATTTGTTAAAGTGTGTGTTAGGAACAATGTGCTAACACAGTGTTCTCAACACTGTTAGGCTAAGGCAACTTAGAACAACATGCAGTTGTGCTGATGCTCAACATGCTGCCATGCTAAGGCCATTCCAAGTTTTTTCTATGTTTAGCGTCCGTGTGCGCCTTGGTTTTTGACACCCCATGTTAGAAAAAACACACAACATCAGGAGTCCTGAAATTGATTAATTTAGGCAAAATTGTTGAATTTGTCAATTTCTCCAAATAATTCTGTACAGTAAGTTATATTTGGTGTATTGTAAGCATTTATTCCATTGTTTTTGCTGAAGAATAGACATTTCTTCTATTAAAGTAGTTTAGTTAGATCAAATCATTGAAAATCATTTTAATCCTGTGTTTTATGTTTTGGCTTCTGTGTTGTTGTTTTTTTTGCGAATAGATTGGTAGGTTTTTGAAAGATGGGTGGACGCTAAACAGAGAAAAAACTTGGAATGGCCTAATACAACTTTACACAATCTATTAGGACAAAATAAAAAATACTCCTATTTCCTGTCACCCGACCTACCCTACATTTTACCCTCCGACCCTAAAAGTTTTTATTACATTTTCATTTTTTGGATAACTATTTTTCTAAAATACTGAAGTTGACCAATGATATTTACTCTGTAAATTACAGAATTAATACATCACAAGTGTACAGGTTACCTTTACTTTATAAATCTTGATTAACAAACTTGCTTTGAAACTGTTAACATATCATTTTCTTGTTATTACAGTTATTACATGCTATATGTTCTGCATTCATTAGATTTTGAAAATAAAATTTTTTCTCAAAATAAAATATTTTCCCTACCTACCAACCCTAATTTTTTTGGTCAGGGGACAGGAAACAAGAGTATATTTTATTTTGGCCTTATGTGTAAGCTTGACGGCGTAGTGTAAACAGCCTGCTGAAACTTTGTTACAAACGCACTAAGTACATTGTCACCGTGTTGTCATAAGCACACTAGCCCATTCTCATAAGCATGATAGCACATTTTTACTTCACGCTAGCATGTAAGTGTCTTAAACAATTAGCATGCTGTCATAAACTTAGTAGCATGGTGTTTTAAATGAGCTAGAGCAGCATTGTTACTTTGCGCTAGCTCATTGTTTCTTATGCGATGCTGTTTTGTCACTTCATTAGTGCATTGTTCCTAATGTGCTGTAACACCTTTATGAATGGCCTTATCCTGACACATAAAAAATCATAACCAGATACCATCTTTCTGACTGATTAGTCGGTTAACAACTGTTAACCATTACCATTCCTAATAAATTTTGACATGAACAAGTTATGTACATACCCTTTATTTGAAATCATGAAAAACTAATATGTTATTTATTACATCCTCAAATGACTGCCTGTAAACCTAAATTTATAAATGATTATAGAGTAGTTTTACAAATAATACACATGCAGAAACATGACAGTATACATTTATTGACTGAGTTCGAGGGCAACATGCGTTTTGTCGGACACAATAACCAACTTGTTTGCCTAAGGCTGTTAGGCCGAAGGCAGACAGTTTGGTTCGAGGGTCCGACAAAACGAATTTGTCGAGAACTCTGTCAATAAATGTTTTGTTATACCTTTCATTTTATTATATATTTTTTGACATACATGTATTTTGCACTATATTCCGTAATGTAATATTAGATCTGTCATTGTTTAAAACCAAAGAATGAAAATGAGATTAACCTCCGCCCATTCTGTGACGTAAGCAGTCCAACATCTCTCCGAGCGGTCCAACATCGATTTTTTTATGCCCGCTCAGCAAAACATTAAAAATGTTAGACTTTTTTCTGTATAGATTTGTATAGGAACAATTTTTTAAAGGTATAACAATATCTTATAACTAAGTTTGATGGTTTATCTTATCTGATAAGTTGTACTTTTAAAAAAATCAATTTCTTTTGATAGGTGTGACTGTCATCTGAGTACTGAAATTTGATGCCAAGCATGATCATGATTTGCCAGAAGAGCCTCTTTTGGGAGATGACAAAGAAAAAACAGCAGACTGAAATTGAAACAATCAACTGAATCAAGTCTCAGTTTAAGAAGATGATTTTAAATATATCATATTTAAATTTTGATTTGAGAAACAGACATAAATCCAAAAATATGATTATATCAATTGCTTTCAGTTTTTCAAGATAAATAGATTTTGTTGCAAAATCTAATATGTTTAATTTGGAATAAATGTTCTTTTAAATATTTGTCAGATCTTGCATGTTTACATCTGTATTGAGGTCTTCCGCTTCCAAGGGAAGACATACCAATTCTAATGGTAAAGATGATAGAGGTCTGTCTTCAGTGGCAATATATAAGATCTAATATGTGTATTTTTACAGTATAATTGAAGGAACATTGCTATCTTGGCATAAACAACTAAAGCATTAACAAATGTGCATGATTCAGAACAAAGGACATGTTATTTCAAACACAAGATCAAAGAGATGTCCAGTCACATTTCAAAGTCAACAAAGCACAAAACCTGTTTACAGTTTAGCTCATATGAGCTAAAGCTGTAGTAAAATTTTGAAAATTCACCCATTATCATCTTTATCTTAAATTCTTCAGAATTTCATTTCCTTCTCAGAACAACTGGACAAAGTTAAGTTAAACTTGGCACAGAGCATTCTTTAGTGTAGATTTCTGTGATTTAGTGATTTTCATAGGGTCACATTGACCAGCATTTTTCTCAAAATTGCTTTTAGACAGAAACATAATATTTTCAGTGATGATAGAGCTACATGTGCTGATGTGACACATACCTCTCTCTTTCTCCGGAAGTGCAGCATGTCGGCGCTCGCTATGGCTTGTAAAAAATCCCATCGGGGATTTAGAAAATGTTCACACCTTTTCTGCAATATCTTTTTACATGTTAATATTTTGTAAAGACATTAAGAACAAAAGTTGTGAAGAATATCACGATCTTTCAAAGGATATCAACAATAAAGGGCTTGCCCCTATAATTAAGGACTTAGAGGGACCAAAATTTTTTTCTTAATATCTGAAAAAAAAATTTGAATTTGTAATACGTCAAAGAAGCAAAGTTGTTCAAAATGTAAAGCTTAATCTATTGAATTTGTCAAAATGCGTCTGGTGACGTCGCTTCCGGTCAAACCGAAAGTCATCAGAAAGTGCATATTTTTGTCATTCTTGACAAGGTTTTGGATAACATATATCACTGAGGGCATTAAACTTAATTTTTTGTCAATTCACATCACTTTTGGTCAAACCAGAAGTAGCCAAAAAAGCTTATTTTGAAGATTTGACTCAAAATTGAAATTATAAATCACTGGAGACAACTTAGCTCATTGCTTTCTTGTTGTTGACGTCACTTCCGGTCAAAACAGGACGGAAGACCTACTCGTTGCTTTGCAACGAGCTTTGCTCTAGTTATTATTATTATTATTGTTTTTTTTTCTTACCGATTTTGTGCACGCAATTTCTCGAAAACGGCTGGATAGATTTTCATGAAACTTTCAGGACTGATAGAACATCAAATAAACCTGATATATAATTTTTTGTTTTGATGACGTCACTTCCGGTTTTGAGATTTCAGCGATTTAGTGATTTTCAGGGGGTCTCATTGTCCATCATTTTTCTCCAAAATGCCTTAAGACAGAAACATGAGATTTTCAGGGATGATAGAGCAATGTGTGCTCTTTTGTCACACACCACTCTTTTTCTCCGGAAGTGCCGCACGTCGGCGCTCGCTATGGCTCGAAAAAAGACCTATTGGGAATTTAGGAATTTTTAACACATTTTTTGCAATATCTTTTTACACGTAAATATTTTGTAAAGACATATAGAACAAAAGTTGTGAAGAATGTAACGATCTTTCAACAGATATCAACGAAAAGGGGCTGGCTCCTACAATAAAGGGCCGAAAGGGGCCGAAAGTTTTTCCTTTATATCTCAAAAAGTATTGAGAATTTGTAATACGTCAAAGAAGCAAAGTTGTTCTAGATATCAAGCTTTATCGAATGGCGTCGTCAAAATTCGTCCGGCGACGTCACTTCCGGTCAAACCGGAAGTAGTCAAAAATTGCATATTTTTGCTTTTCTTGACAGGTTTTTGGGTAGCATATGTCACTGGAAGCTTAAATCTGAATTTTCCGTCCGTTGACGTCACTTCCGGTCAAACCGGAAGTAGCCAAAATAGCTTATTTTAAAGGTTTTGATGCAAAATTGAAATTATAAAGTCACTGGAGACTACTTAGCTCATTGCTTTCTTTTGTTCACGTCACTTCCGGCACATCCGGTCAAAACCGGACGGAAGACCTACTCGTTGCTTTGCAACGAGCTCGGCTCTAGTTATTATTATTATTATTTTTCTTCTTCCTGGGAAAATTTTGTCCACGAGTGATCTTGTAAACTACACATCCGACTTAGGTGAAACCTTTTTAGGGTTAGTAGGCATGTTATGTAGAGTTGCCAAACAAAGGTCATTTTGCGCGCACGTGCTTGCAAGAGCGCGCACGTGCAATAGGTGAAATTACCAATATAATGGATATTGCCGTAACTTTTCTATTTTTTGATGAAATTTTTTGAAACTCATAATGTAAGGATACATTAGTAGTATAAACAAGATAGCATGGTCAAAATAGCAAGATCTCACGTGCATGCACGTGCGCTTCGCTCTGATTGGCTGAAACTAACGTCTCAATAACTTTCTTGTTTCTTGTCATAATGCTTTGAAATTTTGAACATAGTCCTACATTATGAAGATCTACCACATGATATATAAGAATTTTCATGAAAGCATGCGCATGTGCTCGTGCTGCAAGCTGATTGGCTGAAACTTTGGATGGCAATATCTCCTTTGTTTTTTGACGAAATTCTTTGAAATTTAAAATATGGTCATGCACTAGGATATCCTACAAAATGATATAGAAAAAAAAATCATGAAATCACGCGCATGCACGTGTGCTGCAATCTGATTGGCTGAAACTTTAAATGCCTATTTCTCCTTTGTTTTTTGACGAAATTCTTTGAAATTTTAAATATAGTCATGCATTAAGATATCCTAAAAATGATATAGAAAAAAAATCATGGAATCACGCGCATGTACGTGTGCTGCAATCTGATTGGCTGAAACTTTAAATTGCTATTTCTCCTTTGTTTTTTGACGAATTTTTTTGAAATTTAAAATATAGTCATGCATTAGGATATCCTACAAAATGATATAAAAAAAATCATTAAGTTACGTGCATGCACGTGTGCTGCAATCTGATTAGCTGAAACTTTAAATGGCTATAACTCCCTTGTTTTTCAACCAAACAGGATGGGATTTAGAACATAGATAGATGTAAGGGGCTCCTACAAGAAGGTATGATCATCATGCACATGCACGCACGTGCATGCATTTGAAACGAGTATATTTAAAAATACTCTTGAATGAGTGATTTTTATTACTTTTGGACTGAATGCTTTAATATATAGTATATTAAAATATATAAATAGTGTAGACAAGATGATATGGTCATAACGCACATGCATTCACATGCGCTTGGGTGCAATGCTAAAAATTGAATATGATTGGTATCCTTCTGGGAAAGCGTTGTTAAAGTCAAAAATGCAGAGTTTGTCTTATTTAATGAAGCTTACAGGGAACATGGCACCGAAAGGGAGTTGGGGGGCGTTTGGGGAACATCTGTAACGGTTCCCGTTACAATTAGCACTAGTTATTATTATTAAGGTCTTCCGTCTTCAGCGGAAGACCTTTCTGTTATTCTTAGGTTTCTTTTTCACTTTTATTATTGTTTTTTTTCTTACCGATTTTGTGCACGCGATTTCTCAAAAACGGCTTGATGAATTTTCATGAAACTTTCAGGACTTATGTATCATCATTTGAACCTTATGCGTTTTTTTTCTTTTTAGATGACGTCACTTCCGGTCTGAGATATTGCCGATTTTATGAATTTTAAAGGGTCAGGTTGTCCAGAGTTTTTCTGGAAAATGGGTTAAGATAGAAACATGAAATTTTCAGGTATGATAGACCTATGTCTGTAGATGTGCATTTGGCATTTCAATTTTTTGGAAACGCCGCATGTCGGCGCTCGCTATGGTCCAAAAATAGTCCTGTCGTGAATTTCAAAATTTTTAACAACTTTTCTTCGATATCTTTTAACTTAGAAATATTTTGTTAAAACATATAGAACAAAAGAAGTGTGGAATTCCAAGATCTTTCAAAGGATATCTCAAAAAAGGGGCTGGTCCCTAAAATTAAGGGCCTAGAGGGGCCGAAAGTTTTTTCTTTATATCTCAAAACGTATTGAGAATTTGTAATACATCAAAGAAGCAAAGTTGTTCAAAATGTCAAGCTTCATCTATTGGAATCGTCAAAATACATCCGTCGTCGTCACTTCCGGCCAAACCGGAAGTAATCGGAAAACGCGTTTTTTTTTGCCGTTCTTGACAAGTTTTTGAGTTACATATGTCTCTGGGAGCATAAAAAGTAGTTTTTCCGTCCGTTGTCGTCACTTCCGGTCAAACCGGAAGTAGCAAAAAAGGCTTATTTTGCAGGTTTTGATGCAAAATTGAAATTATAAAGTCACTGGAGACTACTAAGCTTATTGCTTTGTTTTGTTTCGTCACTTCCGGCACTTCCGTTCAAAACCGGATGGAAGACCTACTCGTTGCTTTGCAACGAGCTTTGCTCTAGTTATTATTATTATTCTTTTTTCTTCTTATTTCTTCTCCGGACTTTTTTTGTCCGCGAGTGTTCTCAGAAACTGTTCACCAAACAAAGTTAAAACCTTTTTAGGGTTAATAGGTGTGTTGTGTAGATGTGCGGAACGAAGGTCATTTTGCGCGCATACGCCTGCACGTGCGGGCGCGTGAAGTGAGTGAAATGACTGATATAATTTATATGGCCATAACTTTTACATTTTTTGATGAAATACTTTAAAACTCATTATATGAGGATAAATTAATAATGTAGATGATATGACATGGTCAATTAATCACGAACTCACGCGCATGCACGTGCGCTGCCTTCTGATTGGCTGAAACAAAAATCTCAATATCTTTTTTGTTTTTTGCGGAAATGCTTTGAAATTTCAAACATAGTCATGCATTAAGATATACTACAATATGATATATAACAATTTTCACGAAAACACGTGCATGCACGTGCGCTGCAATCTGATTGGCTTAAACTTTAAATGGCTATATCTCCTTTGTTTTTTGACGGAATGCTTTGAAAT